TCTGGCCAGATTCTCACAAGGATACAGTAAGCCTCTCCTGTCAAATGCACTCACTAACTCACTGTTCGGTGTGACAATGGCTCCCGATTTCTTGGTGATAAGAGCAGAAATGCACTCATTACAAGAGCTTTCTTTTGTTGAACTTTTAAGCAACATAGCCAGCAATGGAATAAGCAAGACAGCTGTCACTTTTCTGAACAATATTGCTACTGTGATCACCACTTAAAAGGAGTGCAAGTGTAGACCTAACGCAGTCAACCCTTCGAACTTCTAACATGCCTTCTATGAAACATTGTCCGCAAAAATGAAATCACATGAGGCTGGAGACGAAGTGTTAAGAAGTTTTTACAAGCTTTGCTAGGGAATTCCCACTCTTGGGTGGTCTCACTAGATTATAAAAATATAAGTAATTTACAGTCACTAAAAACTGCAGGCTTTGGATGATCACAATATTGCCTAATTACTCTGAAAACATGTTCGAGTTTGTCCTGGCTCAGTCGGGCGGTCACTATGTACCTGACCGGCATGACAGGTTTGCTGACGAGCATGGTCAGCAAACTGACCGTGCACTGGTTGGCAGAACAGAGGTCAGACAAACGACAGCGAAGGTGAAGCATCCGAAGGAGGCAACAGCGCAGCACAGAGAGAACCAACGAGCCCAAGCATGCGTGGCAAGCACCTAATTACTACACTAGCGCCCCCTGCGGCGACTAGAATTTTCACTGCGTTTCGCGTGCCCTTCTCCCATGGCGAGAATATCAATGAAATATCGCTATCGGGAAATGAGCATCAGCGGAGAAACGAAATACGTTCCCTGCTTGCCAGGTTCTTCTTTGCGCCTCCAGATGGCCCGAACTATCCAGCCTCCCGCGGTTGCGGCGGCAGTAACACGGTATTACGCAGACGCAAAGTCTATGATGAACAAAAATTCAACGTGTTCCTTGTTAGCAATGATATCTGACTATACGTTGTTTCACTTTGATAGCCTATGGTCGTGTTAGTGTGTAACACATACGTGATATGAAAAGACACCCTCATTGCACTCTTTCCGGGCTTCGAACGAGATGACTGCAACTCACAACGATGGCCCGACATGCTGACCGACAAGCACACGTTTATTCATGCTGTTTTTATTTCACAGTTTCTTTTAAGGTGGTTTTCATCATGATAAATTTCACGAAATCATTCAAAGCGGTGCGGCACCGAAGATCACACGCGGCAAACGAGTGCATTTCCAGGCTTCGGCGCCAGTCAGCGCCACGACAATAACACTCGGACCGTACACGTCGTTGCTACTAGCGTATAGTCACTCAGGATGGCATTTGTGGAATGTATCACATCGAACACGTAGCACTAGTGTCGATGTCGCAGGGCATTCAATTTCCATTGAATTTTCGTGCGCTGTTTGCTGCCAAAATAAAATAACTTCCGCGCGACGGATACCATTCAAATTTGGCCCAGAATACCTACGCACACCAAGCCATCGCAGGAAGGGCACATCTCAATTTTGAAATTTGATGTCAGTGCTCCTTTAAAGCTTGGGCATATTGATCTGGCCAGCTATGGCTTGGCTCACCATGAAAGAAACGTTGAAGTCATGGGTAACATGACCTGCCAGAGATTTCCACGAGGAGATTTAGTGTCAGCAGCGATTGTTCCGATTGTACATACGCACAACCCTGGTGCTACGGGGACACATGCTTAAGGCCTCACGCATGCAAAGCACCGCCGCCTGAAAGTTTTGGGGCACGTACACCACTTGAGTACCCGCCAAGGAACTCCCTAGTGACTCCTCACGTCTGATCTTGCGTAGTTTCAAATCACTTGTCTTGTGCTCATCAGCCAGCATGTCAGAGAACTGTCGTGCACTGCACTCGTATTGTTCTAAGCACGGAAAAGGCCGTTTCATTCCAGATGCAGTACGCACAAACACAACCACAAGCTATCAAGCGACAGTTTCTAGATCTGCAAAACCGAACTATTGATGAAGCGATCTATAGCGCGATTGCCATTGTTGCTGCTTTTCGCGTCACCATCATGCAGATTTTTATGCATATGGTGTTTGGCCATAAGAACATTGTCTTCAAACACTCTATGCTCACACTTGCTCTAGCTTCAAAGCTTCACCAACTACTATCTCGAGAACTGTGAGAGTTCCCACTTGACATTTTGTAACATTAGTCATGTAGACTACTCAAAGTGTGATTGCATCAGTATTCCTTCAAATCTGAAGATAGTCCTCCTTAGAGGGGTCGTGAAACGCTCGCTCTGAAGCGACAATACGAAACCACCGGCGTCCACACGCTTTAGCTAGGTGACGTCATCATAAGTAATGCTTTGCCTATCGAGGAACGCGGAAATCTTTGGTAGTTGCAAGTGCAATTGGGACACCCATCAGCGTCTTTTGCATACACAATCGGCGCTAACTTCAACTCTAACGTCATATTAAGCAGCGTTCTTGCGGGACGCATATCGCGCATAGCAGATGCCGATGAGCACCTCTTGCACTCCGCTCAATATGCCGTAGAGTTCCGCGTTCCTCGATAGGCAAAGCCTCTATGCAGGTCCAACCGGGCTGATGATATAGTTACCGTATGTGGCTGGCGATGGTGCCGCATTGTCGTCTTAAATCTACCGTTTCACGACACCTTTAATGGCAGCAGCAGTAGATGGGGGAGTGAAATGCAAAACCATGCAAAGTGGCCCCAGCACTTCTTTTTTTGTAGCCACATTATGTGGCTATTGTGCAAGGCTCATTCTCCCAGCAACAAGGCACTTTCACCACCACCAATTGAACAGTGCATCACTTTTCGTTTACTCAAGCAAAAGCATGACAAGTTTGAAAACAGAAGAGATTCAACTCAGAAACTGCGTTTAGCAAGAATATTTCCCTTAACGCTGAACAAATCATGCTTCCATCTAGCAATTAGAAATGTCATCATCGTCAGTCTGACTGCACCCACTGCAGGGCAAAGGCCTCTCTCATGATCCACCAATCAAACCGGTCTTGTGCTTACTGCTTCCACTTTACACCTGCAAACTTTTTAATCTTATTAGCCCACTTAACTTTCTGTCTCACGCTTGTGCGTTTGTCTTCCCTGGGAATCCGGTCAGTTACCCTTCATAACCAGCGGTTATCCTGCCTACATGCTACGTGCCCAGCCCATGTCCATTTTTTCTTGATTTCAACTATGATATTCTTAACCCCGGTTCGTTCCCTGGCTCACTCTGCTCTTTTCTTGTCTCTTAATGTTGGTTACTTTTATCATTTTCCTTTCCATCACTCGTTGTCTCGTCCTCAATTTAAGCTGAACCCTCTTTGAAAGCCTTCAGGTTTTGCACTGTACATAGTACCGGCAAGATGCAGCTGTTATATACCTTCCTTTTGAGGGCTAGTGCTAGATTACCATTCATGATTCGAGAATGCTTGCAGAATGCAATCCACCACGTCCTTATTTTGGTTACTTCACTCTCACGGTTCGGCTTCGCAGTTACTACCTGTCCTAAATAGACATACTCAAATGTAAGAGCTTGAAAAACTAGCACATCATTTGTCAATGCCTTTTGGCAACAATGAAAGATCAAACAGTGATTGCAGGGTATACTTCTAAGCTATCATAGTGCGCAAGTAAGACACATAGGGGAAGTACGAGATTTGACGCAGCGTCTCATCAAAACCTCGAGATGGCACTAACGCGCCGTCGACTATCAAAAGCAGGTGCTCGTCCTCATTTAATAGTTACATAATACGTCGTAAAATACCACGCTCTTCAGCGCCGCGCCCAACCAAATTGATTCAGATAACGCGAACGAAACAAAAGCTTTTCGCAACGCCGCCACACGTGCGAAACGCGAGCAGCTTGACGAAGCATAACAAACAAAGCGCGCGTTTTTTCACCCGCGGCAACAGATCAGCACCGCTGCAATAACTAGCGTGAACGACGAAAACAAACAATGGAAGCGCAAACGTGCATAACGAATGGCTGAAATATGTTGCATATCGCAATGCAACGTCGCTTCAAGCCGCTCAAGGGAGATGACACGGCTCAACTTTAATAACATAGCAGAAAAACCACCTAGTGCGAACAAAATGGTGACCCCAATGTGGTCACCATGCTCGTTTTTGCCGACTAACGGGAGAGCGCAAATAACTTCGCATCTGCAAAAATAAACAGCGTACTCTGTATCCTGCAAGGAGGCTACCGAAGCACGCTTGAAAATTGGTGGGTCAGTGAAACTACGCATAGCTACTACAACGTCAAAGCTGCAGCGGCCAAGAGGACACTTAGGCCTAACAAATGCAGTGCAACACCGCATGTGGAATCGGCAAGTGGGCGCGCTCCGGTAAATGAAATCTAACAAGGCAGCGTGCAGCCGGATGAATACTACTGTTTACTGAACTCTGTAGGAATGTGGAGGCGTCTTCAGGCACAAAGCCAGCGTGAAGTACGGCAAGGAGTCGTGTCAAAACACGTCGGCACGGGCATAATTCCTTCAACGTGCATGAGCGCAATCTCGGAACTTTTTTAACACACAGCGTGTTAACGGATGCGCAGCGCCCGTGAGGGATTCAACAGGAAACGACGCATTTATTACGGAGAGCACATGGAAATCGCGGGAGACGCTTACAGCGCGACGCTATCACAGGAGCACGGTCGCAATTATTATGCTGCGTGAAAACTTTCAACTGACCCCGTTACATTGCACTATCGACTTTAACAATGCACGGTGTACTTCGCATGGTGCATACTCGTGAATCACCTGTGAACAGCATTGTTAGATTATAAAAATGGAAAGCGAGCGCTACTAAGACAACTTACTAGACTATGCGACAAGCTGTGTATAACACGTAATTCCTGTTAAAAAACAAAAACGAATGCAGCCGCGAAACATGAGCGTAAAACATTAGAAGCCGCGCACATCATTTCTAAAGAATGAGCGTAAAACATTAGAAGCCGCGCACCTCATTTCTAAACAAGGAGCACAAAACAAGTACGCACCTTTTCAGATGTGCAATGAAGACACCCTCGCTGAGAACTAATTGAAGCAGCCTACAATGTTTCAGGACGCACGAATAGTCCTGTGTAAATATATCAGAGACAGTATTAGTTACAATAAAGCACCTGACATAATAATGCAAACAACACTTCAAATGCTGCACTCACGCCGAACGAGTGCAAAAAAAACGCGTGCAAACGCGCGTGTTCGATCAAGACTTGTAGGTGTTCTGTGTTCTGGCAACGCCTCCAGTACTTTGAGATGCCTGGCGCGTCGGCGCGACCCTCTCCGCGCGACCCTCTTCCGTTTACGCACACCACCGCCGCGCCGCGGCGCTGTGTTCTGACACTATCGTTAGGAGTTAGGAAGAGAGTGCGAGATAACAGGAGTTAGGAAGAGAGTGCGAAATAATTACACTAGGAGACATGAATGCGCACATAGAAGATGTGGATGGGTATACCGACCCGACAGACAAAATGATCATGGATATGTGTGAAAGGCTTGATTTGATCATTTGCAACAGTACCGAGAAGTGTGAACGGCAAATAACATGGGAGGTAGGAAGGCTTCAGTCGACGATAGATTATGCACTGATGTCACATAGGATGTATGATAAGCTCAGGGGAATGCACATAGATGAAGGTGGCTCCAGAAGTCTGGGTAGCGATCACAAACGTATCAAGCTAAGTTTTGGAAGAGCAGTGAAAGTGGGAAGGAGACAAGATGAGCAACTACAAAAAAATTTTTAAACAGAAAGGCAAATTGAAATGGCCACTAAACAAATTGATAAAGTAATCACGGAGGATAATAAGACAGTGTGGACATACACGAATCTAATTAGACTCTTTGAGCTAGAGCTTGCTAATACACGTGACAAGTCACCACGTAAAAGAAGACACAAACCCAAAAGTTGGTGGGATGAGGAAGTTGAGAGAGCCATAGCAAAACGTCAGGAAGCCTCTAGGGAACACAGACATGCTAAGCAGCGGGGTGAACCGACAGATGATGTTGAAAGAAAATGAGCAACCTTTCTAAGCTGTAGAAGCGATGCAACCCTTCTGATCAATGAAAAGATTAGAAGGAAGGGAGCTCAGTGGCTGGCAGAAGTACATAAAAAAGACAGAAAGGCAGCTGCTAAATTTTGGAACCATCTAAACTCCCTAAGAAATGAGACAAGCCTAGAGCAGAGTTTTATAACTACAGCCCAAGGTGCTAGGCTAGAAGGGGACGAAGCTATTGAATATATAAGAACCAGGGTGACAAAAAAAATTTCAACAAAGAAGTACTTTATGCACCACAATAGACAAGGACGAATCAAGTGGTGCAATGGCTCCATTTTCACAACAAGAGTGGGAAAGGGCTGAGAAAAGGGTTCCTAGTAGTACATCAACAGGCCCAGATGGCATTCCAATTAGGCTGATAAAGACATTAGGTCCGAAGTCTAAGCAGGCTTTGAGAGAGGCAGTGAGAAAAATAATAATCGATGGTGAAGTTCCCGATGGATGGAAACTTAGCAGGATGAGCATGATCTATAAAGTAAAGGGGGACAAAGCTGACATAAACAACTACCGTCCTATAACAGTGACATCAGTGGTCTACAGGATGGCGATGCAGATTGTAAAGGAAAGACTGCAGGTGCGGATAGAGGATGAGGGGGTGCTGGGGGAACTGCAGAATGGGTTTCGGAAACACAGGAGGTTAGAAGACAATCTGTTCTCACTGACGCAGTGCATCGAAATAGCAGAAAAGGAACACAGGCCCCTGTGGCTAGCATTTTTGGATATCAAGGGAGCGTACGATAGCGTGGTTCAAGAGGAATTGTGGGGAATACTGGAAACACTAAGCGTGGAACATGTAGTCACTAATCTTTTAAAGGGCATCTATAAAGGTAACAAGGTAGTTATAAAGTGGGAAAAACAGGTATCCAAGCCTGCAGAGGTAAAACGGGGGCTTAGGCAGGGGTGCCCCCTGTCACCCTTATTATTCATGATGTACCTACAAGGATTAGAGGCAAAATTAGAGGGAAGTGGACTGGGCTTCAACCTCTCTTTAGTCAAACAAGGAAAACTTATTGATCAGGCACTACCAGCATTAATGTACGCAGATGATATAGTGCTAATGGCCAACAACAAGGAAGATTTGCAGAGATTGATGGACATCTGCGGTAATGAGGGAGATATGTTAGATTTTAGATTCAGTAAGGAAAAATCAGCAGTCATGATTTTCAATGACAACGAAGATAGTGAGCTTAGAATACAGGAGGTCACGCTAGAGATAACAGATAAATACAAATATCTTGGCGTATGGATAAGCAATGGTACCGAGTATCTGAGGGAACACGAAATATACCGTTGTATATGTGACGACTAAAGGTAACAGGAATGCAGCAGTCATAAAAAATAGGGCACTGTGGAAATACAATAGGTATAATGTTGTGAGGGGAATATGGAAAGGGGTCATGGTTCCTGGGCTGACGTTCGGCAATGCGGTTTTGTGCATGAGATCAGAAGTTCTAGCAAGATTACAAATTAAGCAACGTGGATTAGGTAGGCTTGCTTTAGGAGCTCACGGGAATACACCGAATCAGGGAGTACAAAGTGATATGGGATGGACATCATTTGATGGCAGGGAAGCTAGCAGCAAGATAAAATTTGAGAAGCGATTGAGAGAAATGGGGGAGGAGCGTTGGGCTAGCAAGGTTTTCAGCTATTTGCACATGAAGAATGTCGATACAAAATGGAGGAAGCGAACCAGGAAATTGACTGGTAAATACTTAGAAAACAGCAGGTGGCCAAACCAAAAAGGGAGCAGTATGCAATGCAACATAGACGGAAAGTGCAAGATAGACTGATAGACTGAAGGCATATCGGGCCAAATACGAAGGGGTAGACACAGTATGCAGTGCGTGTGGAGAGGAAGAAGAAACTGCCGAACACTTGATAATGTTCTGTAAAGGGCTTCACCCTATAGTTCAGGATGATGGCGCAGAGTTTTTCAAAGCACTGTATCGTGCCACAAAGGGATCAGTGATGCAACTGGCTCACTTCAAGCTGCAGATTGCATTGGGCTTGATGAAAGCTGCGCAGGCAGCGGAGGATGTTGAAGAAGAAAGAGACGTCAGCTCCACCTCACTCTCCAATCGAGCCTCGGACATTCTTGGTGCAGTGCGGTACGACTGTGTAAATCACATACCTGTGAAAATCGCCCAACCGAACGCTCAACGCTGCAAAATGTCACAGTGCAAACGAAAAACCCGTATGCAGTGCAAGAAATGCAAAGTCTACCTGTGCATTGAGGTAGATGGGCCCACAAACTGCTTCGAGCAGTTTCACCTTGTGTAACTGGTGTTCCTACTGTCCACATATGTGGACACTCGTTTTCTTCTAGAAATAAAGCTAGGATTTCCGTTTTTGCAGCTTATTTGCTCTTTTGTATATGCTACTAATAAATATATGTAAAAAAAACGTCATTTGCACAACTGTATAGCTCATGGGAAACAAAGGGTTAAGAAGAAAGTGAAGGAAACGGAGACCGACATGTGGAGAATGGGCATGATTAAGAAGTCCGCACTAGAGATCTATCGAACTTTTAAGCAGGAAATTGCCAAGGAAAGGATCTATGATAATACTCGGGGTAGTTCTCTACTGTTTGAGGCCAGGACGAGAGTACTGCAAACCAAGACATATCGGGCCAAATACGAAGGGGTAGACACAGTATGCAGTGCGTGTGGAGAGGAAGAAGAAACTGCCGAACACTTGATAATGTTTTGTAAAGGGCTTCACCCTATAGTTCAGGATGATGGCGCAGAGTTTTTCAAAGCACTGGGGTTTAGGGACCGGGAGGGCAAAATAAACTTTAAGCGGGTAGACTTAACTAGAAGGAGGTTATCTGATTGGTGGCTAAAGTCAAGGCACGAGTGAAAATTAAACTCTTCACTGCAAAGTACGAATCCTCAAACTCACTTTTTAAGGAAAAAATAAATAAATATAGTTTTCAGTTCATTAAGTATTACGGCTTGGTGGCGCTAGCCACCGCCCGATATAAAGGGTACAGCCATATCCATCCATCCATCGTGCGCCTTGCCGGCAGGCCAGCGCCCGCGCAGTCATTGCGGTAGTCCGTTCGGAGTGAGCGCTAATGCTGTTGGTCATTTTTTTCTCAGGGTGCCACGTGCTACTTTTTATCGCGCGTATTGCCTCTTCGGAGCTCGATCTAATAACCGCAGCTGAAGCCCAGCCATGCGGTACTGCTGCGTGCCTTTTTGCACCTCGAGCCAGCGCAAGAAGCAGCCTGGCGTTTCGTTCCACGACATACCTGCAGATGCAACACTCCGAGAACAATGGCTGAAAGTTATATTAAGAAAGGACTGGCAGCCGAATTCCACATCCAACTACTCAGCTGTCTGCAGCCTTCATTTTCTCGATGCGGACTTTCGCGAAGACACCAAGAGACGCATGCTGAAGCCAGGTACTGTGCCCAGTGTTTTCCCACAATACCCTTCTTACCTCAGGCCAGCACCGTCGAAGCCGCGAGGTGAGAGAACCATTGCAAAAAGGAAACTCGAATGTTCCCCGACGAAATCAGCTTCCAATGGCGCGTCTGAAAACCTCACTCGTGTTCGTTCAACGCAGCAGAATGTGTCGGACTCAATGTTGTCCGTTGATTGCGTGGACGTGCCCGTGTGTGACAACAGCAGCGTCGCCTCTCAGGACTTCATGCAACAATGCTGCACGTCCCGTGCCAGCGAAAATTCCGATGAGAGGCCTGATCCAAATAGCGCAGATAGACTGCTACATGCCGGCCAGGCCGCATACGCCATGAGGTCATTTGGCACGCAGACTAATGAGCGAAGTTCGTCAGCGGCTTTCTTGCAGAGCAAAAAGTGGCGTGAGAAAGAAAAGGCCTTAAAGGCACAGAATGAGAGGTTGCGTAATATGCAAAAAAGTAATATGCAAAAAATTTATGAAGCCCCTATTTTCAAACCATGCATTAGACATAAGTGACAGAAATGCAGTGGCTAAGATGTATCACAACAAGCCGCTGTCACGCAAAGTACTGAAGCTTTGAAACGGCATATATTGGTTCTGTTCTTTGATTTTTTTCAGTGAAGTGATTTCTTTAGACTGCAGACATCAACTGTGATAGCAGTGTCATGGATTGGGGAACTCTTCTTCCACCCTATTAGCTTTAAATTGTTAGTTTCGCTACATATGCATGATGATGCCCCTCGTTTTTTACCATTGTC